TAGACCCCCTCAAGTAGTGTTCAGTAATGCAGTGTAAAAAAATTCTGAGCCTTTTGATCCTTGGCTAGATGACAAATTTTACCAGAGCTCTCACTAGGGGAGCTTTCCCATTTAAGTGTTATGTATTCACAGAGTCTGACACTTAAATCTGTCCCCGCTGAAGTCCATTGGAGTTTTGTCATGGACTTCAGAGGGGCCATGGCTTCATGCCCACCATCAGTAAGGCCTTAATAAGAAGAGTCCTCCAATAAAGAGTTTCTGAATAGTGTAGGTTGCTTTTTTCTGGAAGCAGTTGGTCTTCAGTATCATCTTTACCACTGGTGGGCCTGTATATTCTCTGCATTGCAGCAGTTTGTTGGCTTGCAGAACTACTTCTCAGGAGTGTTGTGATGGATTAATCACTGTCTACAGAACTGTTTTAAGATGTTCATAGTGCACTGTGATGATAGTCCAGCAGGGAGCTCTTTGATAACCTTGTGGTAATGGTTCACCAGCCACAGTACTTGAGGTTTCTAGTTGCTATATATAAATATCAAGGACAGGAGTCTCCCTTTTGGCCTTCTGTAAATTTTCATGATATTGTACCTCAAGGTTCTCTGTTTTGATCTCTTCTGTAAAAGGCTGGATACAGGGTGACTGAAGTAGTGAACAAGCATCCTAAGATTGGACTAAGAGCTAGACACGGGAGGAAGATAACTATCTATTTGAATCCATGGTCCTAATCTATATTCGGCAAGGCTTGTTATAAGACTTTTTTTTTTAATTCTCAACTTAAATTATCTGCGTAGGGAGGAAAATGTTTTCTCCTTTCTGTGATGGTTACAAGTCATGAAGTTGCACTGAATTGCAGTACCACAGGCCAAAGCTACAAACTGGGGCAAACTGTAGGTGGCATGTGATCAGAAGAGATTCCTGGCCAATAGTTCAGTATCTGCTCAAAATGGATGACTGAGACAGAAGAAATGAGTAGCATAAAACTAAAATGACAGCTTAGATGTAGGTGGATTGGAGAAGAGATGAGTTCCTACATGCAACTTAATTGTTCTCTTTTTAAAAATCTCATACAGTTGCATTCCCTTTTATAATGGTCCCACTGATCCGGATTTTACCGAACAAGAAACGAGATGAAATTAATAGATTTTTTATCAAAGCCATAAAGAACATGATTGCCGTGAGAGACCAGCAAGATGTACATGAGGTAAGGCCATCTTTATGATAAATGCAAAAATAAGTGAATGATCTTTGGTAAAGTCGGAACTAACATGAACTTTGCTCAAAAGGGCAAACTCAGCCTGAATCAGGCAATTTGGTGATTTTTGTTTGTTGGCTTGTTTTGCTGTATACTGGGGTGAAGCTGAATTACTAATATTCCACAAGAAAGGCAACTTTCTGGTATTTCTGCCCTAATTAAGACAAAGAAGTACTGAAACACAAGGAACTTAATTGCTTGCACTCTGCCCTCTTCATTGTCGGCAAGGGGACAGAGTGCTGGCCTCAGTGAGGGGGCGTAAAATTCTGGGGTGCAGAGAGTAGGGTTGCAGAGGGTGACCTGAACAGCTGTAGAGGTTTGGTGCAGAGTAGGGTTGCAGGGGCAACCTCAAGGGCGGCACTGGGGGCATGCAAAGTAGGGCCGCAAGGACAACCTGAAGGTCTGTGAACAGGCCAGCCCCACAAGTAATTCAGGGAGTGGGCCCCAGTGAGGGGGCATGAGTGAGTGAGTCCCTGCAAGAGGGCGGAAGAATTGAACCCTAGTAGGCCCTCTGACCATTGGTGATGAGATTGGTGGTGCACCCCCTAAGAGAGGTGTCACCAATGCTGCCGGTGGCACCTGCAGGCGGTCACCACTCACTGACCCCACCCCCCCTGCCGCCAGCACCACCAGCAGCAGCTTTGGGAGCTCCCTGCTTATTGCTGCCATGCAACTGCTGCCGTCACCTGTAAGCAGTCGCCGTGCTTCCCCAGGCTCCGGGGGCACACGTCATGAATGCCTCAGACATTGTGAGGCTGACTTTTGGGTCAAAGGGAGACCCCAGTAAGTCTTTAGATGCTTTGAAGCTGAGTATGGGTCAGAGGTTAAGAACTTTGGATGCCATCTGCAAGGCATGGAACACGGTATAAGGAAGGTCGGCATCAGGGCACTTATTCGGCAGCCTCCCATATTTACAACAGCTAATTTAACAGCAAGTCATGGCAGGTGAATGAGGGCAGACTGCCATGACTGGTGGACTGGTACGGTGACTCGCCATGTGTCAACCCCCTGTTACAAGGGTACATGATGGAAGAACACCATGCAGCCCAGGGTCAGTGTACATTGGCTGAGCCCTCCAGTCTCGCTAAAGTTCTAGTCAGCAGTGGCCAGCATGTATGAGAAAATGAATAAACTAATTTAACTTCAATAATAATATCTGTGTCTACTTCAGGCCTTGTCTTGGCCCAGCAGCATATCTCAGATGCCTTTCTTCAGGCAGTTGGGACTCTTCAGGGCTTACCTTTGCTATGAGCCCAGTCTGAGTGGGCTGGTCCATCCTGGGCAAAGCCCTTCTGGTAATCTGGGGCCACAGGTATTACAACCCCCCCATTCCCTGACATGATTTTAATTTCTGAAGGAAAGATGCTTCCTTTTCCCGTGTTGTTTGACTTTAATGTACAGTGTTGGAACATGCATCTTCTCTTAGCCAGGTGTTCATATTGAAATACGGGAGGTGCCACACTCCTTGAATCTGAGTGACATCAGCTGAACAGCTGGAAAGGGAACCTCACATGGAAACCAAACACCCCTCTCCTGGGATGACAGCATATACAAGAGCAGGTCCTCCCAGACATCCCCATCAAATAGTCATCTCCATTTGCCACCTTTAAGTGGAAAACTGAATTTCACCCTAGCCTGAAGTATGTCAGTGGTGCATTTAAAATACAGACCTGTTTTCAGGGGTATTTCAGTTCTTGACTTTGTTTCATGTTCTACTCCTTTTGCTGCTGTGCTGCCTGCTCTGTCTCATTTTTATATTTGCTGTGTTTTTGACTTGCTCTTTTTTGTCTCCTCTCCCCTAACCATAACTCACAGATCTAACACCGCTTGCCTTTATCCCCTCTTTCTGTTGTTTCCTTTTGCTTCCCCCTTCTCTCCCCC